TGTTCCCAAACCCCACAATTGCAGCCAGGTATATATGCTATATAAGGTCCACCTAATAAGTTTGAATATGGTAAAATCTAAAAGCAAGATCATCCTTTACAAGTCAGTGGTTTGCAGTGGGGGCAGCAGAATGGAGGTTGTTAAACTCTCCATACCCTATGTAATCACATACTACATACATCTTAATGGTGGCCATTCTTAGCAGCAAAAGAACAAGGGTCTCCTGAATGAACCTTTTTATTAGTACACATCATAAATTCCTGCAAGACTGAAGTTGGGACTCCTTTATTAATAAATTTCACCTCAACAAATTATTTTTGTCTTAAAATGCTATGGGAGTGACTTCTGCTATCTTTTTATATGAGGTAAATGAACATGTGACTTATTACATGCCCTCCCTTTAGCTTTAGAAAGAGAACTAGAGTCAGGATTTCTTTTTAACTAACTAGTAGTTTTTTAAAACTTATAGCCTTTTTGGATAAGAAATTTAAAGCTACAGTATAAAATTATGCAGAAGCATATACAGAAAAGATACTGGCTACTTTTGCTGCCATTCTAACATACTGGAAATGAGGATTATTTACCAAAATGCAAAAATATGGTAGTTTAAGCTCTCATATTAAAACTAAAACTTGCAGAAGGACAGAAGAAAGGAGGAAAAGGTGGGTGGATGGGGACAGAGAGAGAAGGGGATAAGTCTACTAATAGGAAGGCTACTGAAATGGACAAGTTGCACTCCTACTCTTGTCACTGGCTTTATGATCATCATGAATCTGCTTAACTATGTTGTGCTTCAGTAATGCTTTTCTAACTGTTCAAACTATTCTAACTGTAATTTTTGATTGCTTAAAACCTTGACTTTGTGATAATCTTAAACTGTTCACATTTATTTCTCTAAGAGCTAGCTTCTCATAAATGCTAATTACATCTGATATCACAGTGCTTCCATAACTAAAATGTTTTTTTATTATCTATATTTTATCATTTCTTTCCCTTTTATAATTATGTTATTGAAAGAGAAGCACTAAGGTAATTGAATGCTATGGTGAGTTTTTACCATATATATAACCTACAACCTAATTTTACCTTTTCAAAACTCTAGTTTTCCATACCTGTCAACTCCTAATTGATGTCTTTATACTGTGAGCTCACTGTGTATTCGGAACACCAACCCCTGAAAAAGCTTAAGCCAGAGTAGCACAATGGAAGAAACAAACAAACCCAAAACAAAAACAAAGCCAAAAGTCACACTCTGAAATACTTAATTATAGACATATATGCAAGGAATGGAATTATCTAAATGGCTAAACAAAATTCCCAAAGAAAAGTTCTGAGTTCATCTCAAATCAATTCAAATGTTACCCACAAAACATCTCCTTTAATCAAATTTGCTAGATATATTTATGCATTATTTTTTTAAATGACAGTTATGACAAACCCACATTGCCTTTAAAGTGCATAAATAAAGGAAACTTTTAAAAAGAAAAGCAAAGTTAGCCTTGTGATGGAAAGAAAGGAGAGTCAAATTACCTGCAAGCAGGCTGGGGCTGTGCCTGAATCCAAACCGCTGCATTTAGCATTCATTATACAGCTGCATTATTGGGGGAAGGGGAGTTTAGAAGGGCACTGACCCCGAAAGTTCTCAATACTTCTCACTCATCATCAGGAAGGGGGAAGAAGGAAAGTTTTTTCTCTGGGTATTTTTTTGTTTGTTTGTATTTGTTTTTTTGGCTCCTGAAAAGGCTGGCAAAGAACAGTAACAGTGCAAGCAATTAGAATATTTCTTTAAAAACAATTTTAAAAATCCAAAACATTAAGGAAATTTAAAAGCCAAACTTTCGTTAATATAGAAAAATTTTCACTAGAGTTAGCCACCAAAACAGCATGGCAAAAGGGCACTGGTATAAAGGAAATAAAATACCACACAAAAATCGAAAATAAAACTAAAAACATTTCAAATTAAACCTGGAAGACTAGAGCAACAGCAGATTTCTGTCCACTACCGAAATATTCCAATATCCAAGCTTCAAATGCACCTACACTGTATTTTAAATGAAATTTTGTTTTGTTTTGTTTAAGAAAAAAAAAGAAAGAGCAGTGAACCTGGTTATAAATCCTGCAATATATTACATATTTTTAAAATCCTAGTACAACAAAAACAAATTTTAAATAAAATTAAACAAACAAACAAATAAAAACAGTAGCAGCAGAGGTTACCTGTCTGAGCACCTACATTTTCTTAGGAGGGGATCGTGTCTCACCAGCCAAATAGCCCATAAACCTTCTCAAAAAAAGCGAGCCAGGAGAAAAATATAACACAAGGGTTGATTTCACAATGTCTCTAAGCCCCCCAAGCCCCAAAGTGGGGGCTCACTGAACGAAGAGAATTTGTTTTCCCATTGCTTTCTTCTTGAGAAAAAAGGAGATGATTTTGAAAGTCAGTGACTTTTTTCAATGCCTTCGGTACCTTTTCTCAAAGTCTGACAAAGTGCTCCATGAAAGCAAGTCTCTTGTTGGATTTTTCTAATGTTCCAGGGTAGTTTTCTTATTGATAGCATATACAGAAAGATTTTTTTCAAAGTTCATTGGAGAAAAGCCAGCAGAAATGACCAATTATAGGCACCAAAAAAGAAAAACGACTATTAAAAATTTTTAAATGGAAATAGTTCATATGTATAGATAATATAGTAAAAGTCCAGTTTTCATCATGGGTGACATAAAAACAATATCAGAAAGAATTATTTTAAAAATACAATTTAGAATTACAATTTTAACAATATACAAAAATTTAACAATAATTCAGAATTTGGCATGATAATGATTACATATATTTGATAAATACATTTTATCTCTCATAATAGTGAAGATCATACAAAAGTTATTGAACAATTAATTATGAAAATAAATTCAACTACCACTTAAATATCTAATGCTGATATTCACTTTGAGTTCCTCCAGCATGATTTTTTTTCTTGTTCTTTACCTTAATTTTTGAGGAAATTCAAGATACCCATGTTTTTGAAATCTAATATGATCATTCCTAACCTTCTCATTCTAATGTGTGAGTGTGAACTCCAGAAATAGACTGGTCATGTTTTAATATAGTATGAATGCACAGAAAATGGACAAACAGGGAATAAAAGTATAGGTGAAGATTTCAGATATTTCTTGAAAATGGTTGCTTAATTTGGTTGTTAAAAAATGGCTAACTACATTTTTCCTCATCCCTTACCCACAACACAAAATTAGTTTTTCATCAAATAAGGAGGTTGTTCGTTTTGTGTTTTTAAATACATATTAACCTATATACATATGATATATAACTGTTCAAAGTATATGTATCATAATATGTATGGCAACCAGATGGTCTCTACATGAACATATGAATGATAGTTTGATTAAGCAGTTCTTCATTTATTTCTCTATACCAAATAGTATGCACCTTTCAAAATATGGTCATTCGGCAAAAGTACCAAGTATTTATTTTTGTTAATGAGGCAGAGGTACTTATGTGAGTCTGAGTCCCCCAATAACCCTGTGCAAGTCAAATTCTTTTAGATGCAATTAGAATATACTAAAGATAAATTAGAAACTCCTCTTCAGTTATATTTTTTCTCAGATGAAATGAGACAGTGCACAGATTAGAGGTACTATTCTATTTGTCAACAATCAACCTTTCACTCAATTTTAATAGTATTTAATTCTATGGAAAAAACAAGTTTTATTACATTCCTTTTTAAAACGGGGAAAAACTGTACAAGTAAGCATGATCAAACCTCTGTTAGAGCTGGTTAATACTGATCTTTTATTATTGCCTCGAAGTCTCTCTAGTAGTGTCCAAGAAATTATGTTAAGGTCCATCTGAAGGAAAAATAGCACTGGAGAGGCAAGGAAGGGCTTGGGTAAAAGCTTCAGAGGATTTGTAGGGAGATGGAACTTGCTGTTTAAAAAATTATGTTGAGCTCTGTAGCACCTCCATTTCTTAACATACCTTCCAAACCCATCATTAAGATAATTTAATCAATGTTATAAAGGCTCATATTAAATGCAGTTCTGGGGCTTTTGTGATTCAGAAAATAAAGGAATAAAAAGAGTGGTCAGTACTGAAGGCTTAGGAGTAGGGCTATATGAGACGCAATACTGCTAATTTAATCCCCAAATAAAAACATCCAGTCTACCCAACCCCAAATCCTATGTGTAAAAAGAGAAAATGCATAGCCATGAGCATTGACAAAAAGCATGTAGCTTTGAATAAATCATACACCGAACAGTCTAGAAACAAAGGAAAAAACCAAACAACATACATATAATACACATGAAGGCCTAAGAAGCACCTATTCTTATGTCTTTAGGTGACTACCTCTACCCCAGTGGAGTCTAAGTCATGAAAACAATGCATCTGTTTTTTAAAGTAAAAAACTGTGTTTCCCATCATGCTCCATTCTCTACAATCTATCCTTTTTGTTTGGTTGGTATAAATAAAAAGCAAAACACAAACACATGCATGCGTGCACACACATACATATATACTCCCTTGTAAAATGTGAAAAATGCAAATATGTAACGCTGGCGTTAGAAAACACTTTAGCTTTATACTTAAGAAATTATAGGTCCCTGATGTGCCCCCCAAAAATATTTTTCCTTGTCCTTATTCTTTAAATGTCCAACCACAAAGAGAAAACCAGAAAAAAAAATAAAAGGTTTTAAATGTACATGTTTCAAGTCAATGTCTTGTTAACAAAAAGGTAGCATTTTTTTTTCCACTTTGGCCATTATTAAAAGATGCAGGCATAGAGCAGGGAATGTTAGACTAGCATGTATTAAAAAAAAAGTAACATTAACAGAGCATATATCTTTCAAAAAAGACTAAAACACTAACAAATACAAGTCAATGCACATATTTTAAACTAGCGTAACTTTATCTACATTGAGTAAATGTTATTTTGTATACCAGACATTGCAATACTGTTCATTTCTCTGTCATCATGCAAACATGCCAATTTTGTCATTAAAAAAAGTCTTTATTGGGTTATATTTACTTTGCCCTCCCACCCAAATTAAGGGAAAAAACCAAAACATAAAAATGAAAAATACCAATAAAAGAGCCCCTTAAGATTTCATAAACAACTATGAATTAAAGCTGCTATTTAACAGCAAAATGGTAGAATTTTCAGATTTACAGATTAAAAATTCCTGTAATTTAGGCAGATGTTTTCCTCGCTCTTTACAAATTTTCAAACACAATGTAAGATTATGTTATCGGATATTTGAACCAAATCAACGTTTTGTATAAAAACAAAAGGAACCATGAACAAAATTTCATGTGCCTCATGGCCTGAAAGCATACAGTTTTTGGTAATTTAAAAAGTAACTAAGAGAGCCTCCTGACATCGTTCTATCCCACCTCTTCTGCCTCTTTGTAGAATCTGTAAATTAGTAATATCTTATTAGCAAAGGTCTCATCTATTTCCCTCTTCTCTCAACTAATCCTACTAATTTTCCCCTCATCCTCCTGAGCATCCTCCATGAACAGCATTGCAAGTTGGCTTAAAAAAGAAAAGGGAAAAAAGAAAAAGAAAGTTTTACAAGGGTTTTGTTGGTTAATTATTTACCAGTGGAGTCACTCCACTAGGAGTTTGATTTCATTGGCTAGCAGCTGGTTCATGTTGAATAGGCCCCCTGGGAGCTTGGTGAGTAGCTCTCGCTCCGTGCTTTCAGGGTCACTGTCGACAGAGCTGGAACTTGCGCTCATGTTGTCGACAGCAGTGCTGGCAGGGGGACCCAGCTCCGGCTCACTAGTCTCACTGGCCGTGGACACCACGGAGAGCAGGGACATACGCCGGGTGAGCCGGCCAGAGGGCAGAAGGGAGGCGGCATAGTCTGCTATGATACCAGCTACATCTAGATTACAAGCCTTATCAAAGGCGATGAAACCTACATTTGCATTGGCCTCGCAGACACAGAAGGAGCCGTCATCTTTCATCAACAGGTCAATGCCACACACATCCATCCCCAGGATATTAGACACCTGGATAGCTAGCTGCTTTCCTTGTTCACTCAATGAACACATCATTCCCACACCACCTGGCAAAGGAGAAACAAGAAAAAAGTTACCAAAATAACAAAGTTTTGAAGTAAAACTGATGTTAGTCTCATAAGGCTAATCCTCTCTTCTAAATCTGTAATGAAAACAAAGGTGCTATTCTAGTATATAACTGGAATTTTGGACTCTAGATTTACTGCATTAGAGATTCTGTCCTTATCTAGTCTCTTAAAGAATTGATTTTAGCATTTTTTCAATGTTACTTTTTCTGAGAAAGTCATTAAACTTTCTCTAAAGCACATCTTACCTGCAATAATATGAACCTAATACACATGCTCATTGATAACCAACAGGAAGTGGTTCCACAACCATCCAAATACAAAATCTACACATGCTGAAGTCTCATACAAAATGATGTAGTACAAAATTTAAAATAAGCTCTAGATTATTTACAATACTGAATACAATGTAAACACTGTATACAAAGTTCTTATACTGTACTGTTTAGGAGTAATGATCCCAAAATACCTCCAACATGTTCAATACAACATCATCACTGCAGGCCTAACTGCACATTACAAAAAGAAGACTCAAGATGAACAATGCTCAAACAACAAGTGTGGGGAGAGACCAAGGATCTATCATATGGCAGGAGACTACCATAGCAGGGTATGCCCATACATCGCTTGATTTGCAGATTAGCACATGGCAAACTCAAGGTTTGTTTTTGGAATTTGATGGAATAAAAATATATATTTTCAATGTGTAGTTTGTTAAATCTTTGGAAGCAGAACCTGTAGATATAGAGTGCTAATTATATAATGAACTTTTGCACAAAAAAAGTTAGGCCACTTTATGTTACATAAGAAAAAACTTTTATAAATTTTTAATTTGAAAAAGACAGCTGAGATGAAAAATAAAGACCTAGGAAAGAATGGCTGAACATGGCTCTGTTCCTCTATACAACCAACAATCTAATTTATCTTGCCATTCCTAAAATAAAAAAGCTTCTGGGTTGTTAACTAGTTGAACACGGTGATATATGGGCTTTGCTGTTATCTGAGAGAAATGAAGCAGAATTAGGTTCTCTCTTGGAGACTAGCTTCAGGATTCTGAAGAGAGAAAGAAGGAAAAGACCTTTGAGAAAAGTTTGAGTGAAATAGCTCCTTGCATTCACAGAAGTACCTCTAACAATATTACATGAGCACGCTTTTCTCCTTGAATTCAAAGAGGCCAAAGAGTAGCTAGATTGGTGTGCTGAGTCCTCCCTACCACCAAAGCTGGTAGGGGAGGTTCAAGAAACAAAGCTTCCCAGTGTCTGCAGAGGACATACATAATATGATGCAAATAGCCAGAGCTGAGTGAGCCCTGATGCAACAACAAGATAAAAATCAATCTACCACTTGAATGAAAGAAATAAGAAGTTAATGAGATTCAAGTTCAATTTAAAAAGACTTTCTAAAGCAAAAACAAAACATGATTTCCCAACTTAAAAAATTCAGTAGAGAACATCCAAGAACAGCGGTGCATACCTGTAATCCCAACTACTCAGGAGACTGAAATAGGAGGATCTCAAGTTTGAGGTCAGCTTGGGCAACTTAATGAGACTGTCCCAAAATTTTAAAAAAAGGCTGGGGATACAGCTCAGTGGTATAGCACCAAGTACAGAATGAAAAAATTCAGTAGAGGAACTTAAGGAAAGTCAGTATGTTTGTACACAGCTATTAATTCCAGCAACTCAGGAGGCTGAGGTAGAAGGATTGCAAATTCAAGGCCAGCTTCAACAATTTAATGAGGACCTCAGCCATTTAGCAAGTTCATGTTTCAAAATTTAAAAAGGGCTTGGGATGTAGCTCAGAGTAAAGCACCCTTGGTTCAATCCCCAGTATCACTGGTGGTAGTGGTGATAATGATGACCATGATAATAGTGGGAACTAAAGGAGAGTACAGTCATTTTTGAGAAATCACTTAGAAAATCAAGGGTAAGAGAGAGAAGACTCAATTTAATAAGATTAAAGATGAAAAAGGAGATATCGCCATAGAATCTTCAAATCCAAAGGATTATCAGAACCTATTTTGAAAGCTTCTACTTCAATATACTAGAAAATCTAAAAGATACTGACAAATTTCTAGACACACATAACCTGCCCGAATTGAATCAGGAAGAAGATATACATTATAATCAAGTGAATGAAACTGAAACAGCAATTAAAGCCTTAGAAAAAAAAGAAAAGCCCAGAACCAGATGGAATCTCAGCTGAGCTCTACCAGACTGTACAGAAAGATTAATACCAATTTTTCTCAAACTATTCTATGAAATTAAAGGGAGAGAACACTCCCTAAATACATTCTATAAAGCTAGTACAACTCTGATACCAAAACTAGACAAAGACACATCAAGGAAAGAAAACTACGGATCAATACTCCTGATGAATATAGATGCAAAAATCCTTAACAAAATATTAGCTAACCACATTAAAAAACACAGAAAAAAGATAGTTTTCATGTAAGTTTCATTCCAGAGATACAAGGTTGGTTCAACATACACAAATCAATAAATGTAATTTACCACTTAAAAAAAAGTAAGGGCAAGAATCACATAATCATCTTAAAGATGCAGAAAAAGCCTTTGATAAAATTCAGTATCCATTCACATTAAAAATGCTGGAGAAGCTAGGGATTGAAGGAACTTAGCTCAACCTCATAAACGCCATAAATTTATGACAAACCCAAAGCCAACATCATACTGAATGGAGAAAAACTAAAAGTATTTCCTCTAAAATCAGGAAGAAGGTTGTCCACTCTCACCACTCAATATACTCCTTCTAACACTAGGCAGGGATCAGGTAAGAAAAGGAAATCAAAGGGATACAAATAAGAAAAGAAGTCAAACTATCTGTTTGCAATGACATGATCCTGTATCTAGAAGACCCCAAAAAAACTTCACCAAAAGATTTCTAGTGCTTATATGAGTTCATCAAAGTAGCAGGATACAAGATCAACACCCATAAACCCACAGCTTTCCTGTACTCCAACAGTGATTCAGTCAAAGAAGAAATCAGGAAAATCATTCCATTCACAACAACCTTAACAAACAAACAAACAAAAAAACTTTGGAATTAATATAACTAAGGAGATAATTTTACAATGAAAATTATATAACTAATTCCTTTCAAATTCTCTGTGTGCTCCTACTCTATATCCTATATTTTCAGAAATAAGTCTTTATGATGAATTTCAAGCTTATCAATACACTGCTTTTTCTTTATAGTTTTATAATGTTTGCATTCTTAACTATGCACTGTTAAGTTTTGCTGTATATTTAAATTCTACATAATAAGGAATCAGACTACATATATTCTCCTCTGACTTGCATTTTTATTCAACATGATGTTTTTGAGATTCATCCATGTGGTTGTAGATCTCAGAAAAGTAACTAGGAATAAAATTATGTAGGGTCTAGTAGCCACTACATAAACTTGTTTTTCTCTAAATTAAATGGGGAGCTACTAAAGGACTGTGAGCAAGATCTGATTTGTCTTGCAATATACAGTAATCCTCCCTCATCTGTGGGAAATATGTTGTAAGACACCCCTCTCCTTACCATAGATGCCGGTAATTGTGCATACCAAAGCATTTACTATGGTTTTTTTCCTACAATACCTAGCTATGTTAAAGTTTATTTATTAATTAGTCAGTTAGATATTAACAACAATAATAAAAATTGACAATCATACTATAATAAAACTGCCCCAACACCACTATTCTTGTACTTTGGAATCATTGTTCAGTGGTTAGTCAATCTGATAACCAAGTTAAAGGTGGGTATTTCGTACAATGTAGATATGCTATACAAAGGCATGATTCATGTCCTAGGTGAGATGGAGGATATCACCAGAGGGTGTAAGACTTCATATACTTAGAATGGTGCATAATTTAGAAGTTACGTATAATTCACTTATAAAATTTGCTAGTTTTTTCATACTATAAATGAAATAATGAAAAGTGAAACATAAATAGCGAAGAGAATTACTGCTGTACAAGGATCTGTTGTATCATTACTTTGTTAGGAAAAGATGAGAAGAACACAATCCAGAAGACCAATTAAGGGGCTATTAAGGTAATCCAAATAAAAGAAAAATACACTGCTTTTTCTTTATAGTTTTACAATGTTTCCATTCTGAAATGCAATGGTGAGAAATGGGCAGATTTGAATATATTTGRAGAGACTATAAAGATTTCAAGGAGTTCTTAACACTTTGCAGTTAAAGAAAACAGGGGGATTAGGATGACTTGATTTTTGTCTAATCTGAAGAACAGAGTATTCATTGAATGATGAGAATATTGTGGGTAGAACATGAAGTAGGATGGACAGATCAGGTGTTTAAGTATGAACTTGGTAAGTAGTTAGTTACTTGTATGAGCAAAGAGTTCGGGGATAAAGGCTAAATCAAAGATACAAATTTGAAAATAATAAGCATATGATGGTATTTAAAGTCCGGAGCTAGATTACTAAGTAAGTGATATAAACAGGGAAGAGGAAAATTGAAAGACTAACCTCTCATGCATTTCAGTTAGAGATCAAGGAAAACACATTTTTTTTTTTTTAAAGAGAGAGAGAGAGAGAGAGAGAGAGAGAGAGAGAGAGAGAGATAGTTTTTTTTTTAAATATTTATTTCTTAGTTTTCCACAACATCTTTGTTTGTATGTGGTGCTGAGGATCGAACCCTGGCCGCACGCATGCCAGGCGAGCGCGCTACCGCTTGAGCCACATCCCCAGCCCAAAAACACACATTTTTAAAAACTATTTATTTTTTAATTGAAGTTGGGCACAATATATTTTATTTATTTCTATGTGGTGCTGTGGATTGAATCCAGGGCCTCGCACATGCTAGGCAAGCGCTCTATTGCTGAGCCACAACCCCAGCCCTGGAAAACACATATTTAGGTAAATCAGAATCAGCAATCTTGTTTGGACTGCTAAGTAAAGTAGGTCATAACATAACATTCAGGCCACAGCCTGAATAAATTCCACTTATATATAAGATAAATATATCTCCAAAGACAAAAACTCTTAAATTTGGTTGGATATCTCATACATGTATTAACTCAGGTTATAAATTCAACCTGGCTGACAGTAAATTTTCATGATCAGAGAATTCTAACTCCATTAAAAAAAAAAAGTATATTGAATTTACAGCATGTTTAAAAATTGTTAAAAAAAACTTATTAAGTAAAAAGGCCTATAGCTGTATACAAATACAGGACAAAAGCTATAACATTTACTTTATATATCAGAAAGACTCCTGCATTACTTTTACCTAGTGAGCAGTTGCTTTGCATTCTCCCATCTGTTGAACAACGTAACATGGTACCAACAACACGGCCTCCGACAACAATGACTCGCACATCCCGTCCATGAGACTCTTTAACATACTTCTGGAACAGGTATGGAGCTTCATGACGAATAAGATGGCTTAGATCAGCCAAATGATGTTTATCTCGGGCCAAGAAAACAGCTTTACCTGTGATTTAAAAAGAATAATATATACACATAAGTCAAACTGTGGGCAGTTAATATCTACTACCTGCACATTCTTGAGTAACAATCTATTCTTTCAAAACTAATTACAGCTGGGCATGATGGTGCTTGTCTATAATCTTAGGGACCTGGGAGGCTAAGGCAGGAGGACCACAAGTCCGAGGCCAGCATCAGCAACTTAGTGAGATCCTGTCACAAAATAAAATAAAGAGCTGGGGATATAGCTCAGTGGCAAAGTGTCCCTGGGTTCAATTCTTGGTATAAAGAAAAAAAGGAAATAAAAAATTACACTTTTTAAAAGTTTTCCTTGTTAGAATGTAATTTAATTATAATTAATGAGATAATACAAGAATGTTTAAAGACAAAGCTAATAATCTTCTTCTACTATTCCCTCAACCTCCATACTTTATGATAAACTAGAACTCATTTTGGCAAATGCTGAAAGGTAAAAATCCAGAGATTAGCCAATAATGCTAGCATCATTTATTAACAAAACTTTTCCCTCTGAGTTAAAAGTATAAGTGTCATATACTATTGTATAATATTAATACTGTATTAGTATGGAGTAACATAGCATGTTATTATACATGTCGACTTATTTCTAAATTCATTAGTCTGTTCTACTCCTATTTTTGTGCCAATCAAAGTAGCTCTTTTTAAATGTAATTATAAATTCCTTTCTTGGGGGACAAAACCCATGTCCCTTCTGATTCAGTCAACAGTTCCAGCTAAACTGATCCAGCCATCCCAGTCAAAGCACTAAATTTGTACTGTCCTCATGTTTATAAATCATTTTATGCCTTAAACATTCTTCCCTTAACTTGAAGTCATTACATATTTTCACAGACTCTTATAAAAAGACTTATAGTTTGCCTTAAATATCCAAGAATTTAAACTTATAAATTGGGAGGGAGATGATTTAAGTTAGAGATCTAAGGTGTTCAAATTTTTAAGGAAGATAAAAGTAATTAATTTGAGGCTTACTATGAATGTGCATGTAAAACATCTAGAACTCTAAAACAGAAACAGCTTCTAGTTAAACTTATATTGCAATAACCACCTAGAAGTGTGACATGTCATGTACCTATCAATTTCTCTTTATTCTTCAGCATTCTGTTACAAAATCACCCTTATTAGTTTTCAAAAATAATTTAAAAATTCTGTATCATGTCAAGAACTTATACAATACCTCTATGACCCCGTGTATTCTTCACTACCATTGGGAACTCCAGTACTTCTGCTTCATCAATCATTTTAGCAAAATTTTCATGGCCACCTGGTTTAGGCAAAAA